CCAAAAGCTGCAAGTGTGTTGAATGAGTTGGCAGGGACCTATTCCAGAAAGGCCACTCCCGGCATTGTCCTCAACTGGAGCCCTGGCCTACCTTTCACCAAGTTGCCCTTGACCCTCAGCCTGGTGGAGCTGACCGAGGAGATCCTGAAGCTGCTGATGGAGCTAGTCTTCCGCCTTGTGTGCAGTGGAGAGCTCAGCCTGGCCCGCGTGCTCCGGAAGAATATACTGGACAAGGTGGACCAGAAGAAGCTGCTCAGGTGTGCCCATTCCGACCAGCCTCTGGCAGCCAGGGGTGTCGCAGCCAGGTGAGGAGCCAGGGTCCCAGCCCCATGCTGCCGGCCAGAATTGAGCCCAGCAGCTGCTTTGGCTCATAGTCCCTGTGAGATGCAAGCTTAGGGACAGTCCCTGGACTCCCATGAGTGGGCCTCTCTCCATGCTAATGGCACTGAACAGACAGGGGACAGAGGTGCTCTGGGCTGTGGTCAGCTCTGGACTTCCCCAGCACTGATGTTACCTCCTATGCCATCCTGACTTCCTAAAAGCCTGGGAAAGTCTCTCTCCTGCCCTCTGCCCAACTGGTGGGGAGTGTTGGGTGGTAAGCATGTGGAGCAGGAGAGGAAGGAAGCCAGTTGCCCTGAGAGCAGCCCTATGGCCTAGAAGAACCCATGGAGCTAAAGCCTGCATCACTGTCCCCCAAACATGCTTCTCATTCTGTGTTCCAGGCCAGGGACCTTGCATGATTTCCACAGCCACGAGATAGCAGAGCAGCTGACACTGCTGGACGCTGAGCTTTTCTACAAGATAGAGGTATGTGCTGAGTGGCCCTGCCAAGGACAGCAGCTCTTGCCTGGAAGCTGCTGCTGCTGACTGTCCCTAAGAAGAGCCCTCACCCCAGACCCAGGAACACCACAAACTGAAGTGTCATCTGTTCTGTTTCCACCCAGATCCCTGAAGTTTTGCTTTGGGCCAAAGAGCAGAATGAGGAGAAGAGCCCCAATCTGACCCAGTTCACGGAGCACTTCAACAACATGTCCTACTGGTAAGAAGGGGCCACAGCACTTGCTCAGGTGGTCTGGGTGGGCCAGTCCAAGCTTCCTGGGCAGAGAGGTTGAATGGTCAGTCCTGAGCCCTTTCCAGGGCCCATGGGCCCTGGCCTTGAACTGTGGGCAGCAGAGAGAAGATAGGGTGGGTTGGCCTCCTGCGGAGCTGGTTGAGGAGGCACCATAGGCTCTGCCGTGCAGGGAAGAGTGCCAGAATTGACTGGTGAGCCCTGCTGTGAGTGACTGAAGGGGGCGGGGG